GTCCTGCGCTAATCGAATTCTTCAGCTTGGCCCGGGGGGGGGGGGGCTCTGCAGTCATCACAAAGCACAGCTGAATGCCAGGCTCGTGCCAGTGGGTGTACTGATGCAAGAGTTTGCAGTTTGCTTGTTAGTGCCCCTGGGAATATGAGTGTCTCCTCTGATCTCTGGAGGGAAGGGGTGCCAATGGGCGAAGGCAGAATGGGTCAGTTTTAAGGAACAGGGTGGTGGAGGGTAGGATTTCAATTCTCCACTTTCCAGCTCTGCCCTTTCTGCCTTTCGTTCCCATTTCTCCGTTCTTCCTCTTCGGATGCTGGCGGTGGCTTTCTCTCCCCAAGAGTGATCCTGCTGGATCACAGCTAATCCCCCGTAACCCTACTTTCCCAGGACCCCACTGGGCACCCCTGTTCTTCGCCATAATCCCATGCCAGCGTCCCCCCTTGCGGCGGCGAGTTCCTGAAGTTGCCCTGTGCGCCAGCATTCTTTCTCGTTGGCGATGGATCGATTCATCAGTGGCGAGCAAGGCACAATCCATTGATGAATTGAAAATGGCGAGAGAAGGCCAGTCCGGAGGATAGCAAAATGCCACGTTGGGCGAAACGTTAAAAAGAGAGAGAGAAAGTCTTGGATACCTATTGAGTATCCATTGAATATCGGTGGCGTTGTTTCAACGTTAAACATGTGTGTGAGTGTGTAAGAGACAGAAAAATCCAAATCTCCTGAGCTCCCCAAGCCTTGATCTGGGGACTTCCTCTTCGACCTCAGGGGTCCCTCAGAGAGGAGGCAGAAGCCATCGGCTCGGCCCTTCGGTGACCTCACAGCAGCTCAGCCAATCCCCTTCCGAGTCGACACATTCACACATTACGGCCTAGGCATGCTCTTTCACCCTTATGTTTCTCCCTTGCAGGAAACCCTAGCTAGTTGGGCATTTGCCGGTGCCCGTTTTCTTCCTCTTTGGCATTTCAGATATCTTGGGCATCTAGCCCTGCTCCGGGTGCCAGTTCATTTTCCCCGGTTTCTGCTTTCTGGTGTAGGATCTCTGTGCTCCTTGATCATCCTCCTTTAGCCTCTGCGTCTCCCGGGTTGATGTCATTAGCCTGATTCGGTCATTTTCTTTGGACCAGCAGTTTTTTTGGGGTATTTTCTCTTTCTCTCTCTCTCTTTCTTTTGTTTTGGCAAAAGAACAATGAACGCTCAGCTGGTTCGTATTGCCATTCTTCTTTCCTTTTTCTTTTTCTTTAAAAAAAAAATACGCTATTGTTTGCTGGCAACAACAGATGTCATAAATCTGAATGTAGAGAGGAGAGAACAAAAGCTGCGGTTAATCCAACATCCCGTTTTCCTAAACATTTGCTACTTTGCGTGCACACAGCAGGCGGGACGGTTGGGTCGTGGGGAGGGGCGGGGGTGCGCTGAAGAATTCAAAGGCATTTTGATGTTGGGCTGATCAGAAAGGTCGCTGGGAAAGTTAGGAAGCCGACAAGCTTGGGAGAAGAATTAAAAATGGGGCCTGGTTGGTGCAATAAGCAGAGCCTTCACTGGAACTGCTTGGTTTTGATTTACAAGGCTCGGATTCAGCTGTCAAACAAACCGGATTTAACACATCATGGCTTAGGGCTACGGGCAGACCCATCCACTGGGTTTCCGCCATCCGACGGGGTTCTGCTCAGAGGTTTTAGTCCCCCCAAGTCACCTACATTATTAACTCAATTCATTGCATTTTTAAATTTGTTCCTTGTTGCATTTTTGCACCACCCGGTCCTCCGCCTCTCTGGGGTATTTGCAAACAGAATCCCCAAGCCCACTGAACGATTCTGGAGAGATCAAACTGACTGAAAGGTGCCTAGACAGCCTCAGTATTAAAAAAAAAAGCATCTGAAGGCCAGTGAGAAGGGGGGAAAAAGCTAACGCGATGTTGAGAATATTTGTAAATGCCACCAAGGATGTGAGACCTCCACGGCGGCTGAGGGATCATTCCAGGTGAGTTTACGGCCTTGGGTCTCTTGTGCTGATGTTCTCAAATGTTGGGGGGAGCCCGGATTTGCATGGATTTGCTAATGCTCAAGGACAAGGACGTCCTTCCGTCCTTGAAAACGTCATCGGCCTGGAGTTGACAAAAACATCTCCTGCGGTCATCCCCCGGCTGACCTTGGCTGATCTTTGAAAGCCAAGGCAAGCCAGACCTGATTGGTGCCTGGATGGGAGACCACGACGAAATCTCTACCCTGTAGGCAAGACCAGGAAGTCAAAAGCATGTCCTGGAGCGAAGCACTTCGACACACTCGCTGGGAAAAACTGCCTGGCTCCATCGATGGGGTCATCCAGGAGTCAAGCTCAACTTTATCTTGATTGCCCGGTGCCAGCAGTCTGGCGTAATGGTTAAACCACCAGCCAAGGATTGCAAACGTGCCTCGGGATGAACTCGCTTTGGCCCGGCCTTAGTCCTCCAGATTTTGCAAATATTTGCCTGGTCTCCAGATGTCCATCACCATCTTCTGGTGAGGATTGGTTAGCCTGGCGAGACCATTTTCCACCCGCCCTGATCTTGCGGAAGATCTGCCTCCTCCTCCATAATCTTCAACGTCTGCATTCACGTTCCCGTGGCACATCGGCAGCCCTGTGCTTTTTAATCTCGAGTCTCTTCCTCTCCCTCTCTTGCCTTGACCCCGTTCTCCAAATGGAAAGCTCTCGGGGAGAACATCTGTCAGCGGGAGGGCAGAGCGCACTCAAAAGCTGGTTTTCCAGCTGCCCACCCCAGGTTATTCTCTTGCTCCGTCGGTTTGCATGAGTCACCCAGGACGCACGGAAGAGGCGGCCTGGCCAGGACCACTTTGCCATAGTAACGGGAGCGTTGCCGCGCTTGTATTCACATCATCGAGCGCCCCAGCGACGGGCAGGCTGTTTCTCCCCCGATAATGGGCACTTATGCAAATGGTGTCCCTGGCAGGCGTCCAAACCCAGCCAAGGCTCTCCTCCACGGAGGAAAGCCGCCTGATCGACGTGCCAAGGACTTCCCGGCTGCTGGTTGGGCTGCTGGTTGGGCTGTGTCCCCCTGCCACGGGTCTGCGGGTGGGGCTGCTGACGTTCCCCTTCCGCAGCTGGGGAACGGGGGCCCGATGCATCGCTTTTCCCCTCTCCCTTATGCCAGCACGGGAACCGCTCTCAAAAGGCCATTGGCCATCCAAACTGCAAAACCCTAAAATGATATTCCACCACATGACGCCGGGAAGCCAACCCACCCTTGGCTTTATGGCAAAGCAGCATGTTTTTCCCGACCCCTCCTTTGGGGGCAGCCCCCTGGGATTGAGGTGCAGTTCTCAGACCCA